AGCACTTTGGCTTACTTAAAACTCTTGTAATATGTAGATTCAATTCTTCTATTTTCAGACACTTTTCCTGGAGTTAAAGCCTCTAGAATAAAGCATTTAGTGTCTCATTATTTTGTTTTTAGTATTTAAGGACTCCAATTACATATAAGTTGGATCTTCTTTGCCTGTCTTCTATGTCTATCACTTTCTCTTTGATGTTTTAAAAAAAATCTTTATCTCATTTTTGTTTTTTTGGCTCTTCTCATTCTCATCCACTATGTCCCTTAATGTACTTTCAGTTTTATGTCTTCATCCTTGGACACTTTGTATTTTACTCTTCATTTCAGAAATTATTTTATTTTCCTTTTTCTAATTTATTTCCTGTCTTTACCTCTCATTTTTTTTCATATTTGCCTTTCATTTGTTCTTTACTAGTCTGCAACTTTAGATTTCAGATTCCTCACTTCTTTCATATTTGTAATAGCTTATTTAACTGCACTTAATTCATTTTAGAGTATCATGTTTGTTACTATATATATATTTGGAGAGTGGTTGATGGAGTATTTTTATTAGCTGAAGCAGTTTGACTCCTGCTTTCATTTTATAGTAGATTTCTATGGATGTTTGGGTCTCCCCCCCCTTTTTTTTTTTGTTTGGTCCCTGGTTCAAATATACAGGATGTAGAGTTTTCCTGGGCCAAGTGATGATGGGTAGGTAGAGGGGCTTTCTTGCTTGTTTGTTTGGTTTTGTCTAATTGTGTTTTCTATTGGAACTATAAAGAGCAGTTTCTTTAATAAATGATGTCTTTGGGATGTTGGTTAGTTGGTTTCCCAATTTTTTGATACTATTTTATTTCTTGAGGCTTTTAACTTCAATTGCTTCCTCTTCCTTCTCCTTCCTCTTCTTCTTCTTCGTTTTCATGAGCAGACCTTCAAAGGATACCTCTTTCATTGTGTCTCTTTTCATAAGACTAACAGCTTCTGAACCAGAATTCTTTTTAGACTGCCTTCCTTTCAACTTCCTAGGAACCAGTGCTATGGTATCCATCAGGTCTTGTGTCCATTGTCTTTTCTTCTAGGAGAGAGATCACAAGTTGATATTGTGTTTTGCAATGGGCACCTGACTTCCAGGAGCTGGCCTTGATGGTTTTAGTTGCCAATTTTCCCACTTACATGTAAATTGAAGTTTGTTTTAGTCTCTGTTTTCTAGTTATGCTGTAAGTGTGGACGATAGCTGATTTTATTTGCTTTCCTTGTTGATCTGAAAGCTTTTGTAAGATACCTGAAGAAATTCAGATTTAGTGACCATTATCTTACAAGAACTAGGAAGTCATACTCTGATCACTTTAACAAATATTTTAGTCCCTCTTCTACATAAGCTCCAAGTTAAATACTGAGGCCAAAAATATAAGAACACAAATATAAGGATTACATATGTTTCTAAGAATGACATAGAATACGTTTAAAAAATTATTTCATTCAGTACCTATAAGCTAGGTAGATATTTCTTCTATTTTACAGATGATGATGCTTAGGCTAAGAAGTTAAAAGTAACTCTTCAGCAGAACTAGTTCACAATGGTAAGAGTCAAACCTAAGATTTAGTCTGAATCTACTAAATACTCCATGCTCCATCAAAATGGGCACATAATTTCATTTCATTCATTATTCACTAAACATTTATTGAGTGTCTTTAAGGTGCTGAGCTATATACCACGTACTGGTGATTCTGCAGTGAACAACAACAACAAAAATCCCTATGCTTCTAGAGCTTACATTCATTCTAGTAATAATAGTCTCTCCTATGGCAATCTGCCAATGTATCTCTTGTCTTAACTTCTGAAATACTTTGATTTTGTAAAAACATTATTAGTCAAAGTCATTTGTAGCACCTAAGTATGTATATCATTCAACATAATTGTGATTTTCATAATGCCACACTAACCAGTTTCTCATAATCCAGTTGCCTGATTTATTGCTTATATACTAATAAACTGAAATAAGAAAAAGTACAGATGGCAAGTAAAAATTGCATACTCCTGGTATTTCTACAACAAAATATGGTATATTAAAGAATTGATTATATTTTTTAAACTTTATATTATTTGGTGTCTGTTGAGTTTATTATGTCAAGGTTTGAAATAGAAATGTCTTCCCAATTTAAGATACTTATGGAGTTATTAATTTTATACCACATAATTTAAGATGTTTAAAATTCCACATTAAGCACTGCTGAATGTTTTAGTTTTCACTTATTTGCATAAGAAGTGAAGGATTTTATAACCTGCTTCCAAATAATGGAATCCTAGTTAGAATTCTTTTAGTACTTCATTAAGAAAATATAAAATACTTTCATCATTGTGCAATTTCTCATTGTACCTTGTTAATTTTGGCAAATAAATGATATTTTAAATTCACATATTGAGTAATATAAAATAGGATAATCTGTACTTACTCAATTTTAATACGGATTTTTGAGCAACAAAGTGGTTGATGGGCACCCTCTGTTGGTCATTTTATTTACCTACAAGCAGAAATTAATAAAGCAAAATTGAAAGTTTGCCTTCAGTACTTTTATCTCTGTCCTTTAAATTAGCATTTACAAGTCTCACAAAAATAATGCTCTAAACTGGGTTTATAAGAATAAGGTATACTACTATTTAGCTGTGCTTGTTTGGATAATTTTGTGGTTATTTGCTTTTTCCTTAGGCTGGCTCTCTAATTGTAGCATTTAGAATTGGCATTAACATTGCAGATTTTCAAACAAGTATTTATTTCACTGTAGCAAACTATTAGCTACAGTAGCACATTATTAAACAGAGAATGTTTAACAATTTTATTGTCAATTTGGATTAATTAGAAAAACATCACATTTTAGCACCCTAAATAACAGTTTGAAGAATTATTTGAATTGAAAATAATACAGGCATCAGCAAAATGAGGCTGAATTACTTCAGTGTGTCTCTCATTTTTTTAAAAAGAGATTTAATTATTCTGTAAAATTATATGATTAAATGGATTTATATTATAGTTTGATAATATTTATATATAATAACTGTTGGCTGGCCCTAGAAATGCCTATGCAAGTAAATTATAATTATAGAGAAGAAAGCTGTACTCTGCCTTGTGAATAGTTTGGTGGGATTTTTTTTTTAATTTTTTGGTGATATTCAGCAAGTTTGCTTTTGGTGGCTCTTATATTTCAGAATTTCTCTTACCTGCTAAGACCTCATGTTTAATCCAATTTAGTAATACCTAATGGATCTCAACTTTAGCATAATCTATGACCTATTCCATAATGCTCAAATTACTCACTATATTAGAGCTTTCTTGTATTTCTTCATTGAAATAAGTACTTTAAGAGTTTGTATTATGCATTGCTCATATAGAAGGTGTTTTTAGAAATATTAACTTATAAATGCCAGCCGGCTGTATGTATATTGTATTTCTTATACCATTTTGGGGAAATTGAGATTTGTGTTTGATTTCTAGTGTGCCTTATAGTAGGCTATTCAATTGAACTTTTCACTCTGTGATGAATAATCAAGCTAATGTTCTGCAACATGACAAACTAAACTTGCGTATAAAATATTGAACATGACTTTTAAAATTTATGATTCAGTGCAACATTTTTAAATAATGAGTACTTTTATTTTGTACTTAGTGAATTCCTTGTTTTTAACTTAAATACTAATATGACCAGAGAGTAATTAGATAGGATCCTGAGAAATTTATGGCTTTAAGTCTACTACATTACTTTAGTTATACCTCATATGTAGTTGTATAAATACTATATACATATCCTATGTAAATTTATCTGCTTAAGTACATCAGTGTATTATTTCAGTTCATTTGGTGTATATTTCACTTAAAATGCTTATGTGCTTAATCCAGTAAGAGAATGAGAGAAGTAGACTGATATTTTATCTTTAAATTTTAATGTATGATAAAGAATAACTGTATAATCTTTCTAACATGCCTACTGAAATGCAATGAGATGGTGTCATACTCTTCTGAAAATTAGTCACACTTCAAAATTCCACCAGTCTTTCTCCAAAAACTCTCTTAGAATCAAACAGTATCCAAATGGAAAGTTTTTATCTTATCATATATTTGAAGTATCTAATTAGCCAGTAGTTAATTAGGTAACCAAATTAAGTGGAGACCCCCTCCCCCCAAAAAAGTGCAAAGCAAAATAATCTGCGAAATATTGCTCCAGGAATGCAATACTAATTTTTAATGTGGGATTATTAGGAAATAGGATATTGGAAAAGTATTCAAGGGTGGTATTGATTCTACTTAACCAGGAGATAAGTATTTTGAATTGTTTTTATGGTAATATATTCTAAAGTTAGATCTGGAAGTGTCTTATATACTAAGAATTTTACCTGAGACTTTTTCTATTTTCATAATGTTTTGCTCTCCATATTTTATTTTTCCTGCAGAGCCACCCCTTCCTTTAGCGCCTGAGTTATTGTTTTAGTATATAGTTTTTTTGAATTTCAAAAAGAAGTGTTATATGATATTTCTGCATATAAATATATAGGACTTAACAAATGTTTGATATTTGTTAGATTTTTATAAGGATAAAGTACTCCTGAGCAGCAAGTTCATGGTTGGAAAGCTCTTTAGCTTTTTCTGGCAGCTATAATCTGGTAAGCTAGAAATGTGATTTATGAAATGGCAATCCAAGGTATTACACTTCCTGGGACCTGGACAAATCTTGTACATCTTGCTTATAAATAAGTGTTCACAGAAGGCTTTCATTGTACAGTAAGCCAGTATATAATCATCAGGGATGGAAAGCTTATATGAAAAATGAAAGAGTTCCTCTATATATTTCTCTCAAAGGCAACTAGCTGTTGACTAAACATTGTGAAGTTTGAGTGAAGTAGTTTATATTATCTGGAAGTCATTATGCATGGATATGTGTCTGTTTTTAATATTTAGGCATTTGTGAAAGATTGTTAAAATATTGCTTTAGAAAAGATCATGTTTTCATTAGTTTTTTTCCTTTTGACAGTGATGTAAATTTTGAAAGTAAAGAACGAACAGCATGTAAAGGAAAGATTGCCATATCAGGTATGCTATAGATGGATTGTTTTATATTGCTGAATAAATTCTTTAAAGTACCTACTTGGAGTTGTTGGAGTTTTTTTTTTTTTAAGATTTTTATTTATTTATTCATGAGAAATACACACAGAGAGGCAGAGGGAGAAACAGGCTCCATGCAGGGAGCCTGATGTGGGACTCGATTCCAGGATTCCAGGGTCACACCCTGGGCCGAAGGCAGGTGCTAAGCCACTGAGCCACCCAGAGATCCCCAGAATTGGTGGGGTTTTAATTTCCTGCATCCGTTTTTTTCCTCCATTTTATTTTGCATGTATTTGTTCTAAAACACTTTTCTTTTTTTTTTAATTTTTTTTATTTATTTATGAGAGAGAGAGAGGGAGAGAGAGGCAGAGACACAGGCAGAGGGAGAAGCAGGCTCCATGCATCGGGAGCCCGACATGTGATTCGATCCCCGGTCCCCAGGATCACGCCCTGGGCCAAAGGCAGGCGCTAAACTGCTGCACCACCCAGGGATCCCTAAAACACTGTTTTCATCATTTGCTGTATGTTTATGTAAGATTTTACAGTTTGGGAAAACTTTTATGTACATTACATGTATTATGCAGTTTTCTCTTGAGTGCAGTTTTGTGAAATAGGTAGGATAGTTCTTTTTCTAGACTTAGAGGTTAAATGACTTCCATTAAGTGGTTTAGCTGGGCTGCAAACTCAAATCTTTAACCTTCCATTCCTTTTCTGCTCAGAAGTTTCAATAATATTTCTAATGTTTGTCCAGGCTAGAGGTTCCATGAGGGTTGGAATTCTGTTTGTTTTGTTCATCACAGTATACCCTGAAGCCAGAACAGTGCTTACACATAGTAGTTGCTCAGGGGTATTGATTGGATAGATAGATGACTGCTTCTTGTTTTCCATAGGATAAAAAACAAACTATCCCCCCCAAGAATTTTCCATACTGACCCAACTGTTTTTCTAGCCATGTCCTCAACTCCTGCGTGTAAACGGTCTGTGTTAGTCAGACATTTCTCTCCCAGTTCTGTCAATACACTGCCGCTTCTGACACCCAATTAGCTCTTGAAATAACTATATTATCTTCAGGATCTGTTTGCTCATCTATAAAGCCTTCCCTGTTATCATTCCAGCTGGAAATGATGTTTTCTTTCTTTGAATTCCTAATGCTAGATAGACGACCCTTTACCACTAGATGGCACTTATGCTGTGTTGTCTCAGTTTCTCCAAACTGTTAAGGAAACTAGACGGTGGCTTGGAGATGCCACAGAGTGAAATGAACGCAAGGCTAACTCGTGTACACTAGTTAGGTAATCTACCTTTTACAAATATTATCAGTACATTTTGGGAGCAACAGACCTCCATCAGCCCTTAAGTAATAACTAGCTTGTTTCATTGGCCAGAAGCCTTGTTCTCTTAGCTCCAGGGAACATGCTGCTGCATTTCAGGCTCTCTCACCCAAGGAACGGTTTTTAGAAATGTCTTTATGGATAAACAAAATTCTCATGCAGGAAGGATAGATTTGAATTTTATAATATGTAATTGTCCTAAATCATAGGAATTGCCCTCAGCAAAAAATTCTTCAGAAAAGTAACTGAACTATAAAAAATCTGTTGCTTTTTTTATAGTTATTTATATTCATATTTTCATCTTTCCAGTTATAAGACTGGAAAAAAACATATTTTATACCTCTTTTATGCTTTTGATGCCAAAGACAGTACTTTTACATAGTAGTTGTGCACTATGTTCAATACATTTTAACGTGAATAAATAAAATATTTAAGATCTTTAAGGGAGATTTTTCTAAAAATACTTAAACATAATCCTCCATTTCTTGTTTCTGACTTAGTGCCACTAAGTATACAAGTGAAATATGTTAAATTGCTGTGAAGACTAAAATGACATGATAGAGTTAACATCTACTGACATTTTATAATAGTTTATTAGCTACAGCAATTCATGATATTAATATTTACCACACATTTAGAAGAGTGCTTAAGTAAAAGCATTTAAAGTAAGAGGAAAAAAATCTATTTTCCTGACCACAAATATTCAAGTGTAGAAATTAAACTTATTTCTGCATGTGTTCCTTCTTTCCAAAAGATAATTTTAAATTAACTTAAGGAACTGGAAGTCTCAGAAAATGGGATACATATGTAATTTCTTTTCATCTTTGCTATGACTTAATTATATCTTTTCTGTGTATTTGTAAACAAAAAAAACAAAGAAAATTAAAAACTAATTCACTTTTATAAGTCCATTTTCTTTTGACATTAGGATGACTTTTGTATTGATCAATATGAGTATTTGCAACAAAGGTTCATAATGTTTTGAGATTACATTGATTAACAGGTGATACCAGGGTTTTCCATTTCTAGCTTCACCACTCATGGCCAGATCCTTTTAAAAATAAACAGATAATTCAGGCATATCTGATCATTCTTACTAAACATCAAATAATTGTACTGTGGCAATTGACTTAGCTTATTCAGTGACTACTAATTCAGTTTTTAAAGGCTAATCAATTCATAAAATGCCTCAATTTTTACTTCTGAAAATGATAGAGACTTTTAGGAGTTGATAGCATCAAGTTAGCCATTGTATTATGCATGTCTCTTTCAGTTTATTATATAAGGGTCAATGAAGACATAAAAAGAGGCAAAAGAAAGAGCACTGTAAGCTAAAGCCGAGTCAACCATTTGCAGGAATTTGAAAGGAATTTCTACTATTTGAAGCTGAATTAAAAATCATAGTTGGTAGGTTATACATCCTTTGTCATCTGAACAGTACCTGACCAGCTTGGAAATAGATAAGAAATGTGTCCCTTCTCTTGAGAATTTGATATAGGTAGGCATGGGAAAAGGCAAGACTGACCCCATGGGCTGTTGGTGTATAGCAGAGGAAGTCAGGGTTCATGTTCCTCCCAAGCCAGTGTAAATAGTTAATACTACCCTAATAGGGCAAGAACAGCTGTGAACAAGAACAGTTGTGAAATGAGATGAATCAGCAACTGTGGTCAAGCAAGAAGTAGGCTCTTTGACAGGGTATCAGCCAAGTCATAATTATAAAACAATAAAAGCAATCCTATTAAAATCAAGAACAAAGTAAAAATATCTATTATATCAATATAACTGACACAATTTTAAAAATTGTAGCTAAAATAGCAAGAATGAGAGATGAAACTACTGAAAAGAAATAGAGAAACTGAATACTATTTTAAAATAATAGATTACAGACCTAGAAAATCTAAGGAAATTTATTGAAACACTATTTGAACTAATACAGAATTCAGTATAAGTGGCTAGATTCAAGATAAAAATACAAAAAGTGGTAAGCTGCTCTCAAAACCAATATCTAGTTAGAAAATATGGCAAAAAATCTCTTTTACAATAAAAACAGCAAAAAACAAACATTAAATATCCCAAGAATAACCTTAATAAAAATGTAAACATAACTGTATCATGGTACTGTATCTATTGACAGAATATTATAAAGTTACCAGTTCACAAATTAATTTGGATAATAGAATTCTAATAAAACATTTTGGAGGGGGAATTTGGACAGTATATTTCTAAAATGTGCATAAAGAAATTAGCAATTTAGAATAACATGCTTTGGAAGGATATATTTCTAGCAAATGGTACAGTATATTATAAAGATTCAGTAGTTATAATAGTATGGTATTGGTATTAGGAGAGACAAAAACTGATAAATTATTCAATTAGATCTGTAAAGCATATACCCAAAGCACAGATACTTACTCAGAAGGTCACATATGATAAAGATCCATTGAATCATTAAATCAATGAGTAAGGGAAGGCCTATTAGATGTATAAATGGAGCTGGAACAATTATTTTTATAAGAAGAACATATTTTTTTTATCTCATATACCCAAAATTCTCACATAGATTAAATAATTAACTTTTAAAAGTACAGAGCATAAACAGTATGTTAAAAGAAAAGTGGATCATGGATACAAATATTCACTGAAATGGCAATACCTGTTTTAACATTTTTCTTGTTACTTAGGAAAATGCAAATCTAAACAAATCTTGTCAGCTGGCTATTAAATTAGTAAATATGTTTTAAAAATTATGGTTGGATGTATATAAAGTGTTTAGCTTGGCAAATGGAGAGAGCCTAATAAGTAATATTTTTCATCAAAATGGCTCAGGCAGCCGTGGAAGGACACTCATACATACCTAACTGGTTGGGTAGGGTAGGGACAAGGGAGTATTATAAAGGTTTTCTAGAAAGGAAATTAGAAATAGGCACTATGAACTTTAAAAAGGATTCTAAACAAATGAAAATCTAGACAAGATCATGGGACTTAAAGTGAAACAAAACATAAATGTAGCCAAAAAGCTTATATTCATAAAGATTTGTAATTATTTTAAAGTGGCATAATTAACCAGTATGAAAATATGCATTTAAATGCCATAAGTGTAATAGGGAAATATCTTTAAAATTTTTTCATAAAGGTTTAAAGTATTTATATTCTGAGTAATTAAAACTAATTTCAAAAAAATAAAAAATAAAAATAAAACTAATTTCACTTTATCATTGAACTTTCTACTGTATTGTGTTATGCTGTAATTCATACATCTTAATCTACTTGGTAGAACTTTGATTCTCTTTGAAAATGTATAGATACTGGAATGTCTGGGTGGCTCAGCAGTTGAGCAGCTGCCTTGGGCTCAGGGCGTGATACCGGGGTCCAGGGATCGAGTTCTGCATCAGGCTCCTTGTATGGAGCCTGCTTCTCCCTCTGCCTATGTCTCTGCCTCTCTCTCTCTCTGTGTCTCTCATGAATAAATAAATAAAATCTTAAAAAAAAAGAAAATATATAGATACCATTAGAATATCAGAGGAAAATTGTTAATCTCGTATTTAAAGGGAATAATGAAGGAAAAATTTTGACTGTGTCAAAGATCTAGATTAACATCTAGAATAGATCATTAAAACAATTATTTTAAAGTTTGAAGAATATATGAATGAGAGAAAATACGTTTCTATCTCCTTTAAAACATATACCCTTTTCTTGGTCTCAAAGAAGGAATGTATTACTCTTTTCAGTTTTATTTCTTAAGGGAAATGCTGTAGTTTGTAACATGAATATATAAAGATCTGAAAATTCTTTCCTAGACCAGTTAAATCTTCTTAATGGAAAGAGTTTGTAATCTGTTTGTCATGAACAATGATCTTAGACAAGTCACTTTTCTTCATCTTTAAAGTTTGCAGAGTGGAAGTCCTGACGTCCTTTCTACCTATTATTTTCTGATTTTGAAATGTATTTACATTAGTTGCTACTGCTTACCCCAAATAGAAATTCAACAATTTCATCTATTTCAAAAACATAAATCACAAAATGAAAATGTTGTGGCATAAGCTTATTACAGACCTTACTTAATAATTTGTTGAATAATAGTTCATAGAGTTTTTGGTAAATTATTTAAATAACTTAATAGATTTTATATTCCTAGTCTAGGCAATTTTTGAGAAAATATTGCCTGGGTTAGAATACTTAAATGATAAATTTTATATTGGCTTTAATAGTCAGAATCCATTATGGAATTCAGAGGTTCATTTCACTCTAAGAAATGAAACTTATCAAGATTATTACCTGTCATTTCTTTTTCGCTTTCTTCATAGATATTCGAATACCACTAATGTGGAAAGACTCTGATCACTTCAGCAATAAGGAACGTACGTACGATTTTAATTTATATTTGAAATGTTTTCTTTAAAGTATATAGTAAATTTGTGATTATTGGGGGGAAAAAAGCTGCTTCCACATTGAAATAAATTGATGTCATTTGTCAGAATAAACAATATCTTGCTGAACTGTGTTTTCTCCAGTACAAATATGTTGTAATTACTTGATATTAATTAAGATAATGCCTATCTAATGTACTTTTAGTTGTTGATTGGAACCTATACAAGGAAAGTAACAGGTTGTGGGGAAGGGAAGTGTGCAACAAAAGAAAATGTTGAAGGCAGCATTTCTTTTTGACCAGAATCCGGGAGATCTTTTTTACCTTGTTTTGTTACTTCAGATTATTTAGCAGGGTATAAGAGGGAAAGATTTTACCTCAATCTGATTTTTTTCCCCTTTAGCATTTTATGGCTTTATATAGTCTTCACAAATCCATGTAATGCTTAGGTCATAGAAATTAACCTCAAATGATTTCTAGCTGTTAGAGGCAAAGCAGAAAAGATATGATAATCCTTTATCTTTCTTGTCTATTGTGATAGCTTTGTTCCTCGTACTTTTAAAAATTGAATCATATTGAGCATAATTAGTTTTATATGAAGAATCCAAAATCAGGTTAGTATATTTGTTATTCAATTAGGAAATATAATTTACTTTACAAAGGAATACATGTGGGGATTAAGCATATCTTTCTGATTACTATAGAGAATAAGTTTTTCTGAAGAGCTACATTTTCTCAATAATGAGGTTTTAGCCCTTTAATCACCCAATACTTTTAAAAAACATCACCAAATTAAAAGGCTCAGCAGTTATGTTTTTTGTGTATGCATATCTACTTTTTATTGTTTTTGTGGTTTCCTCCCCTGCTGTCAGTTTGGTGGAAAATGTTTTGCTGTTGTTAACGTGTCTGCTCCTAACCTCTTATAATAGAAAACTTCTTAAATAGGTTTGGAAACCAAAATGAGAGAGGTAATAGTATATACACAATAATAAAATGGATACTAATGAAAGCTTAGAGAGTTTTCTAGGAATAAAATTTATGAATGTGAGGCTTACTTTAGGCTACTGAGAGGCCAATATTTTCAACTTTATTTTTTGATACTCCTTGGTTTAATTGCTTTGTTCTGGTTGGGAAGGATGTGGACATATACTGTCAGAACAGTCCCTATAAAAAGTTAAGGATTACAGTGTAACATGTATGAAAACAAGAGCCTTTTAACAAATATTTGAACTAATTTGTCATTTTCAAGTAGATTTTAACAAACATAACTTAGGCATGATTCATCTCATGGATCATTGTTTTTCCCCTAGGATCACAGCACTATGCCATTTTCTGTTTATTCAAAATGGGAGCCGAAGTTTTTGATACTGACATGATGATTGTGGATAAAACAATCACAGATATATGTTTTGAAAATGTAACTATATTGTAAGTATGTTTAAGTCTTCAGAGAATGAAAAAAAAAGTCTTCAGAAAATAATTTAAAGGAAGACAAAATTATTGAGGGTTTTGGATTAGTTTTGAACATTAAGATCTTTAAATGTTTAAATTGATTCTGAAAATTACTTTATTCAAAAGAAGCCCATTTTTGCATTTGAAATTTTTCAATGTAAAATAAAGTGGAAATCATGTAATATTGGTAGTAAATATTTGACTCCTTGGATATGAGAAATTTTTGTAAACATTTGTAGTTTATTATTAACCAAGCTATGAATACAATGGAATCTCATAACGTTATTTTATATGGAGTGGATCTGGGCATAAAATAGGTTCTTACATCTCATATAGGGTATTTAGTTACAGAAATACTAAAATAGTTATAACAACTTTGTTTATAAGATAGTCCTGAAATAATGTACCATAGGGAAAGCACTTTGGTAAAATTTCGAGATGTTCTTTTTCTTATGGTGTACTTCTTTCATGTACTCCAAAACAATAAAAAATTGGGTGATCCTTAGGGCTGTTTTTATTGCCCCTGCTCTTTTACAGGCTCATTTTATTGTGGTCATAATACAGAACCAGAAGGAACTCCTCAGGTGGCCATAGAAATCATTTTTAACTAACATAAGTTTTTCCTGGCCTCTTTCAAAGGTTCTATTGGCCTAAATCAGTGTGTGACTTGTATTTCTTTCAGGGTTTCAAAAACACTGTCTTCATACCTAAATATTAATAGCTACTTAACTATTAAAATAAAATTGAACATACATTTTTTTTCCATTTTCAGCTATGGAGCTAAACAGTTGAGTTTTGAGAGTAATTTTGCCACTCGCATAACATTAGAAAAACTATTGCAAACCATGTTTTGTGGCTTCTGTCCAGTGTCCCATAAATAATTGTGTAGCATGGAAAAATAAAATGCATTGCTCTGAGTTATTAGCAGTTGTGTAGGCCTTCTTACAAACTATCGAACCAAAGGAATTTATTTAGGATCCTCAGAATACATTGCCAAATGCTTACATAGTTGAGACTGTAAAGAATAATTTTTCTTGCTTATCCAACTACATTTATCTCCATAATCAACTTTTGCTAGTGCATTTTTTCTACCAAAATCATCCTATTAATGGGCTCTTTTCTTCACATCACTTTGCTATCGTTTGTTTTTACCACAAAGACAAAATCATAAATTTTTTTTCATTGAACGAACAATGCAAGTTACTTGGGAAGACAACACATGATTTATAATTTTTGAAAAATTCTGTAAATATTTTAAATTGTTCCAAAAATAACTGCTGACAAATGTTCTAAATGTTGTTTAAAAATGTGCTTTTGTTACAATTGTTTTTAATAAGTATTCAATATTTATGAATCTCTGGTTTTTCTCTAAATATTGACATTTGTTAGTCATTACCAAGAATACTGTATGTTTAAAGGTTGCCAAGTAAACTATAAAAATATCTGGGAGTTATTTCTTGGATGTATCCAAAGTATAGATTGGCCATTTAAAATCTCTGAGACTGACGGATCTTCCATCTAAGGCAACATCTACTGCTGATGGACCTCTCTTGTGGTTTTAAGTAACTTTAATTGTTAGTAACACCACCACAATCTTTTATGGTAAAGGTAGTTCATTGTGTCTAAAAAAGGGCAAAGCCAAGCTTAGCATTTGCTAAAAGTGCAGAATTTTTGCATATGAGTATAAGTGTATTGAATACCTTTTATGCAAGGTTAAGAATTAGAGACCACCAAAGCAGCACTCTCCCTCAAGAAGTTCCTGCCTTGCAGTATAGCTCTTTGTATTGTTTCTTGCTTGTATGTTTGTTTTCCCCTAGATAACCAAACAGTGCAGCATTATTTTAGAGTTATTGGGAACAAAGGTAGGGTGGGGTGGGGAGGACGTCGTAGTGATTAGACTGTGACTCTTTATGAAAAAGAAATGAACACTGAAGTTTGCAACAGAAGAATCCTTTTATGTTTTCTTTCCTTTTTTGATTTTTAAGTCTTTCCCTTTTGGAGGAATAGTTATTTCAGGAAATCACACATATTATATAAATACCTTAAAAAGAGGTGTAACTGAAGACAGGACAACAGGAAATAGCACTGGCAACAAGATGACCAGAGGGCATTATTCTTTTTCTTTAGGACTGTGCCTGCATATATTGGTTGCTTTGTGTTAACATGGCCCTACTTTAGAAGCTGGAAGTTGCTATGACTCTCTCAGGTCCTTTAGATACTAAACAGGGGGAGATTCTGACTCATTAACATATATTAACATGAACATTTCAAATTGTGATTTTAAATGTTATGAAAACACCAAAGGATGTTCCAATTTTATTTTCTACTGAGTTAAATTTCTAATGTTGTGAATGCTCTTGATTTTAGTAATGAAGCAGAGCCAGACTTTCAGGTAAAGGTGGAAGTATATAGCTGCTGTATAGAAGACTCTTCCATAACCAACACACCCAAAAAACTAGCTAAGAAATTGAAGACATCTATAAGTAAAGCAACAGGGAAGAAAATAAATTTGGTGTTTCAAGAAGATCATGAAACATGTTCGTCCATTTCGTAAGTTTTTTAATACAGCATTTATAGTGACATAGGATTACTATATATCTGTGACATTTTAAAGTATTGTATGTGGAGTTTAAGTTTACATTTTAAATGGAAAAAGCATCCTGAAGCAGAAACAAAACACATTTATCCAGTTGAGGTCTCCTTAATACCTTCCTTTGAAAGTACGAAGTTGAGGGACAGTGTATTTTAGTGATTTGGAATTCCAGTATCTACCACAAAGCTGAAATATTTTTCTTTCTTTTTTTTTTTTTTTTTGAAATATTTTTCTTAAAAAGGGACTGTCAAACTGCTTACTGCCTGTCAGTCTACTAACTGGATTTCTGTATATGTCATGCGTTATTCATTCAGATTTTTAAAAGTATTTTATATCTTTATAACAAAACTTCTTTACCATTATCATGTCTAACAAAATAAAAAATAAATCCGTAATATCATCTGATATCCAGTCCATATTCAAATTGTCCCCATTATGAAAATATCCTCTTCTAATTTGTGCAAATCAGGATCCAAATAAGGTCTACAGTGTGCTTAAGTGAGTCTTTCTAAGTTTCTTTTAGTCTTTAATGATTTCCCTTCTACTTTTTTTTTGTCCTGTTTATTGAAGAAATCAGATATTGCAGAATTTCCCATATTTTAGATTTAGCTAATGCCATCTTTGTCTTTCTTTTTAAACATCTTTTTCTATCTCCTGTGTTTCCTACAACTGGTAGTTAGATTAGGAGGACTGATTTGATTCAGGTTCTTTTTTAGGTAATAATACTTCATATTAATTTTAGGTACTGGGGATCCCTGGGTGACTCAGCGGTTTAAGTGCCTGCCTTTGGCCCAGGGTGTGATCCTGGAGTCCTGGGATCGAGTCCCACGTCGGGCTCCCAGCATGGAGCCTGCTTCTCCCTCTGCCTATGTCTCTGCCTCTCTCTCTCTCTCTCTCTCTCTCTCTCTCATAAATAAATAAATAAATAAATAAATAAATAAATAAATAAATAAATAAATCTTAAAAAAAATAATTTTAGGTACATCCTACTGTCTCCATTAGGAGGCCTTGTCCCACTTACAGTTTTATTAAAATTGTGCAGTGGGTTCAGGTGTTGCCAGCCTAATTCATCCATTATAAAGTTCTTTATCAATGTTTCATCTAATGGTTTTAGCAGCCATTGTTGATAATTATTTCATTAGGGATTATAATTTGGTGACTTTCTAAATTTGTCATGCATATGTTTTTAAACTTTGAATTTTCTCAGAAAAGACTTTTCCTCCATGAACTGTGGATATAATTGGGAAAAAATGATGGAGGAAAGGGAGAAAAAAAATGCTAGCTTCTTTTACTTACCCAGTTTTAGAATAATGAGTTGATATCCTAGCAACCATGGAGGTAATCAGTGTTTTCTCTTATTTGAACTCTTGAATTTTTGTATATGTTTGTGTTTCAATCTGTTATAGTTATTATTCTCTTTGAAGCCAAGTTGTCCCATCTTTGATCAGGGGGAACCCTTTCAACTGACTCCTGTAGCTTTTGACACAACCTAATCTCTGAAAGCTTCTTTACTTTCTGACACCAGCTGTTCCACATTCATCTTTTATTTTTCTGCCCAGACTTGGAGTCACCATTTCTTCGAGGAGCGCTGGTTTCTTTCAGATATTTTCTTTAAACATTGTGTTTGTTACTTCACAAATAGTTTTATGTTTATGTTTCTTGGGAAAACTGTTGATCAGTCCACATTCTTAGAATTTTTTTGCATGTCTTGGTAGAGTTGGCTCTTCAGCATGTAAATAACTTGACTAGAATTACAGAAAGCAAAATATTTCAGGTATATACACCCTGGAAATGTCAATCATCAGAACATAATTAAATAACTCTTCATGTCAGATACATTACATATGGGAAATATCTTGGGATTCTAGCATTATAGTTCAGTCTCTTTTGATTGAGGCCTATGCTAAGAAACACATTTTAGATCATGACTGAGTTTGCAGCAGCATAAGCAGAGAGATTTCATGAAGCAATACTTAGCCCTAGCTATTTATAATATAGTTTTCAGACCCTTTTTATTTTTAAAAAATGCAGTTTATGAGTCATAAATCCATGTCACAATCCAATGGATGGGTTTTTCCCCCCATTTTCCACTGAAAAATGGTTACAAAAGATGTTAAGTCTTTCCTCGTTATAAATATCATTAAAAAATAGATAAGGGACCCATTCATTTTCTTCCTTTAGAATTAAGGCCTTCTTTTTCTAGATTAAGAGATGTCAAGAATTTACTACAGAGTTTAGTAGTTCTAAAACTTTTTTAAGCAGCAAAATTTATTTTGCTTTATTCAAAACAATGACAGGACCATTAATGTCCTGGGCAAGTAACATTATTCCCTGGGTCTCAGTTTTCTCATATGAAAGGTAAAGATGCTTAGACACAATCATTTATTAGGAGCCTCTTTACAGACATTTCTAGGGTTTCATACACCTTAAAGCTTGTAAAAAAAGGAGTGAGCCTCAGACCTCATTTTAAAATACCATTATTTGGCAGTGAGTACTTAATTTTTATCCTGTCATGTATTATTTGTGTGACCCAGGGCAGAGTAATTTACTCTTGTGTCTTCTCTTTTCCTTCTGTAAAATGGGAATAATAATAATGTAATATCTAACTCCATAGGCTAATTATGAGATTCAAAAAAGATAAATCGGGGATGCCTCAGTGGCTCAGCAATTGAGCATCTGTCTTTAGCCCAGGGCGTGATCCTGGAGTCCCGGGATCGGGTCCCACATGGGGCTCCCTACATGGAGCCTGCTTCTCTCTCTGCCTATGTCTTTGCCTCTCTCTCTCTCTCTGTTTCTCATGAATAAATAAAAATTTTAAAAAACCAAAAAAGATAAATCCTAAACTTGGTGTGTAGTAAGCATTTTAAAAATTCAGATATAAATTAACAAGTAACATATTAGCTTCAGGTGTGCAACATAACGATTCAGTTTTGTATACACTGAGAAAGGATTGCTACAATAAGTCTAGTTATGGTGCCTAGTAACTAGCTCACTGTACAAAGTTAGAGATTTTTTTTCTTATGATGAGATCTTTTAAGATTTACTCTCTTAGCAGTTTTCAGATATTTAATTCAATATGATTGACTATAGTCATCATGCTGTAAATTACATACTCATAATTTATTTATTTTATGATTGGAAATGTACCTCTTGACTCCCTTTGCCTATTTTGCCTACCCCCCCCCCAACACACCTCCCCTCTGACAGGCACCAATCTGTTTTCTATATTTATTAGTTCTGTTTTGCTTATTTTGTTTTTTAATTCCACATATAAGTGAAATCATATGGTATTTGTCTTTTTCTGTCTGACTTATTTCACTTAACATAATATCCTCATGGTCCATTCATATTTTTGCAAAAAGCAAGATTTCATTCTTTTTTATTATGACTGAGTAGTCATCTACTACATAAACATATCACATCTTCTTTATTCATCCATTAGTGGATACTTAGGTTGTTTCCATATCTTGGTTATTATAAATAATGCTATAGGGAACATAGGGATGCATACACTGTCTTTTTGAAATAGTGTTTTCATTTTCTTCAAATAAATGCCCAGTAGTAGAATTGTTACATGAAGCTAGAAAGCTTCTGCACAGTGAAGGAAATTATCAACAAAATGAACAGGCAGCCTACTGAATGAGACAAGATATTTTCAAATCGTCTATTTGTTAAGGGGTTAATATTCATATACATTAAGAACTCTTAGAATTTAATAGCAAAAAAGAATCCAATTAAAATATAGGCAGAGGATCTGAATAGACATTGTTCCAAAGAAGACATACTGATGGCCAACAGAAACATGAAAAGAATCGTGGTCAGCATCAAAAATCATCAGGGAAATGCAAATCAACACCACAGTGAGCTACCACTTCATAACTGTTAGAATGACTGTTATCAAAAAAAGGATAAGAAATAAATGTTGGTGAGCATGTGGAGAAAGGCGGAACCCTCATGCACTGTTGGTGGGAATGTAAATTGGTGCAACCACTATGGAAAACAGTATGGAGGTTCCTAAAAAATTAATAATTGGAAAAAATAAAAACAGTATTTAATCATTAAGTTCTTGCCATTATTGTTACTATTTTTACTTTTCTGAGACTAGTGCTTTTCCTTAACTTTTTTTCAAACTCATGCTTAAGTACTGCAATTTAAAAACAAGATAGGATTATAAAATATAGACGGATATTTTAAAATATAAAACCATTGCTTATAATTTCAAAGAAGATAATCTGAGTGATATTAGAACTTGCATTTAACCCATGTTCCTCTTTGAAGCCTGGAGGAATTTTTGAACGTAGCAGTATTTGTATTACGTTCTTGTCATTTTTAGAAGATTTTATTTGTTTATTTGACAGCAAGAGAGAGAGAGCATGAGTGGGGGTTGGAGGAGAGGCCCAAAGGGAGAAGCAGACTCTCCTCCGAGTAGGGAGCCTAATTGGGGCTCCATCCCAGGATACTGAGATGATGATCTGAGCTAAATAAAGGCAGACGCTTTACTGACTGAGCCACTCAGGTGCCTCAGTATTAAGTTCTTTTAAGTAACAAATGGCATATTTATCTTGAAGTGTTCATTCTCTTATTTAGATTTGTTATTCTACTTGGTTTATACCTGAATCCAAACACTAATTTTCATTATGAACATTGCCCATCCAACTTGTATGCCATTTGCTTATTTATACCAATTAAAGTTGATCAAAGGAAGAGTAAAGTGTTTTACATTTCACTGATTCGTTCTGCTAATACCTGAATTCTACTGAGCTTCAGGTGTGAATCCAGCATATACTAGGTTAAACTCATAGCCCAGGATGACTCTTAATAATTCCTTAACTGACAGCTTCAGCACCATGATAAGAGTTTGAGGATGGCACTAGTGATCAAAATGCATAAGGAGATCAGGTTTGTTTCAATAGTGATCTTGTTCAATGAGAAGATTTCCAGTACAGCTTTTAATTTTCAACCAAAATGGGAATTAAAGGTCAAATTTGGGACATACATATCTTCTCTAATAATATGGCATGTGACCAAATATAGCTGTTCTTTCTGACAAAAAAGTACGTTTTTAAGTACCATTAAAAGTAGTCATTTTTTTTCATAGCATTTTTGGACCAATCTTCCCCCCCCCACCCTAACGTTATAACAATTGGTCTATTTGATATTTAAAAATGTAGCCGATTTAAACTGTTGGACCCAATATTAGGGTTGGCCAAAAGGAATGAGTGTAATGTTTTAGTAAGAAAATGTTATCCTGACAGGAATGTTTTAAAAGTGAGATCATTGTTGGTTTTGGAAGCATTGGCATTGTAATTAGTCATGGTTTAAAAATGAAGTAACTTGAAATATCATCATAAAGTATTGTTTGATCCAAAAGAAGACAGTGAACATTTTTGGTAATTTTTAGCATGCTCCCTGATGTGATTCATTTATTCATTTTATTTGTGGAATTTCACTTACTGAAATTCCTTTAGCCAGATTTTCCCAGTGTCTCTAATAACTGAGTTCACTATTTTATGCTTCTTGAGAACTATTTAGTACACTATTTGGCACTGTGTAAATATACGTCATTTTAAACAATCATTTCAAGAAAACTGGTAAAATTCAGAGTGATTATTTATTTGACAAAAAGGTATATTAATTTTTTTAAAAAGATACTATACTACATTTTAAATTAGATTGGAGCTATAGAACAAATATGTTAACCCTGTCTGGAATAAATGAGTTATTTATGTTCAAGGAACAATGAAGTTACTGTTTTGATTGTGTGAAAGATGATGCAGAGTTCAAACATAACTAGAGACATACTCAGCCATTGGGTGTCATTTCTTTATTCATTTAATGATCTTAGAAATGATTATTCAGCAGTGAAATCATATGGCACATTGGTTTCCAAGTTAATAATAAGTCATGTTCTCTGAACTCAAAATTCTTGCAGTGGTAAAATACAGTCACTTGTCTTTTAACAGAAAAAGTACCATAATTTTAAACTATTTCTTAATGAAATATAAAGGTAGTAAGTATAGTATAGTGGGATTCTCCTTCCAATACACCACTTGCCTAGCCAAAGGCAGGTCAATTATGTTCTCTGAACTTCAGTTTCTTCATCTGAAAATATGGACCAAATTATTTGCCCTGCCTACCTCAAGTAGTTATTGTGAATCTTTGAAAAGATATTGTTTGTCAAAATGCCTTAAACTGTACATATGTGGTATAATGCTTTGCATGTCTCTGATTTTTATGGGAGATTGCCATTGTACTACCACTTCACCACATGTATTATTTGATTACAAAAATAATCAAATAGAATTTAGAAGAGAAAAAAAGTTAATCATACTTCATTCCAAATCAAATACTTTTTATAATTTTGAACTGATAATTCCTTTTCTCTTACACATTGAGTACAAGGCTGGTGCCTTTAGCTCTTGCAACAGTGGAAATTTGTTGGTGCTTAGTGAACTTTTCCAGAAGTCTGCATATGAGTCTGACATTATGCCAGTTGCATTTGGAATTTAGTTTGAAATTGTAGTCATGCATCATTTTGTTAAAAAATTTTTGCTGCATTTTAGAGACAGAAACATAAATTTTCCTATATAAATACTGACAAAGACATTAGGTATTGAGAGATATCGCTAGTCTATGGTGGTTGTATATTAAAACCTAAGATAAATCAGCCCATCATGCTGCACTTATGCAGTAAAGTATTTCAGTTATTTCTCAATAAAGCTGGAGAAGAAAACAAACCAACAGTTGTTCTCTAAGGGAATAATGTTCTGTAGGGTATGCATTGCACACCTACTACATGTATACATACTTTTCTTCATAGTAGAGATTCTATTAAAGACTTAGTAAGAGACAAAGGAGGTTTATGAAACATATCACCTGGCACAATTAATAAAGATTCCCATCAGGGGATCCCTGGGTGGCGCAGCAGTTTGGCGCCTGCCTTTGGCCCAGGGCGCGATCCTGGAGACCCGGGATCGAGTCCCACATCGGGCTCCCGGTGCATGGAGCCTGCTTCTCCCTCTGCCTGTGTCTCTGCCTCTCTCTCTCTGTCTCTCTCTCTCTCTCTCTCTCTCTCTCTCTCTATCATAAATAAATTTAAAAAATTAAAAATAAATAAATAAAGATTCCCATCAGACTTCTGTATTCTTCTTCAAAGTTTGGTTACATTACTGTCTGTCTAATTTTAATATGATTCCTGATGTTTTGAATGCTGAGGTTTTTACTATTTTGGGAAAAAAATGATAAAACCAAGAAAAAGTCTTGAACTAAAATTAAGATTACTAGCACAGAAAATAGAATTATTTTTGAATGAGAATTCATGTTTTATCACCACAAAGTACCAGGATATGAAATTTAGCATCAGAATTTTTAGATGCTTTGGCAAGAGTGCTATTTTAACACAAGTAGCATAAAGGGGACTGTAATGAAAAAAGTGGAATTAGTAATGAAGTCCTCCATTTTCCCATATGATGTATAAAAACTCCAAATCTTTGAAGTTGGTAAACCAGAAGAAGATTCATTCTTACTCCCAGGAAGTAAATATGAATCAGATTGTATCACTAATTTTTTATTAACCTTCTCTAATGATTTTCTGTACACTTTGAATCAAATCCACTCTTCCTCCAAGGCTCCCAGCAGAGTCTGAGGGCTCTAATCCCTGTCTTTATCTCTGACCTTCTGTACTAAGGTGATATTTCCCACTTGGCTCCCTATGCTTCAGCCACATTGCTCTTCTTTCAGCCCTCTCAGCTTGGAATGTTTTCTTTGCTTGGTTCCATCCTTTTATGAGATCCTCACCATTACTCCTTAGCCCTTTTCTTCTTTCTCATGCTTAACAAGTCTTCAGTTTTCTTATCCCCTTTGTTTCATAGAAAAGGTTGCATTATAACTTACAAATGCCATTATTTTATTCATCCCTCTGCTTAACTTTGTTTTCCCTCCCCCTTGCATCAGAACATAATACTGAGTCTTATTTGCCATTAATGCCCATCACCTGGCATAGGACTTAAAATATGTTAGATGTTCAGTTAATATTTTTGAGTAAATGGAGATCTTTCAAAGAAACATTTGTGAGATAAACCAAATAATGTGGAGATTTTCTTCAGATAAAATAGCATAAAAAGATAAATGCACTAAGTTGATAATTCATTTATGTTTATAATCTGTCATCTATAACATTAAATGTGTTTTTCATTTTTTTGTGGTTAAATATATATAAAATTTACAATTTTAACCATTTTTAAGTATGTAGTTCAGTGGCATTAAGTACATTCACAAATGTTTTACAACCATCTTCACCATCCATCCCCAGAACTTAATTTTCTCTTTCCAAACTGAAGTTCTATACCCAATAAAAAATAACACCCTGTTCCCCCCTCCATCCAACCATTGGCATATTCTAACTCTACTTTTTGTTTCTATGAATTAGACCACTCTAGAGTCTTTACATGTGAAATCAAGCAGTATTTGTCTTTCATGATTGGCTTATCACTTAGTGTAATGTCTTTAGTGTTAATCCATTTTGTAGCCTGTGTCAGAATTTCCTTCCTTTTAAGGCTGAATAATATTCCATTGTAATGTATGTGCCACATTTTGTTTATCCTTTCATCCTTTGAATGGACAGTTGACCTTCTATTGTTTGGCTATTGTGAGTAATGCTTCGATTTATACGGTGTACACATATCCATTTGAGTTCCTGTTTTATTAAATTCTTTTGTATATGTACCCAGAAGTGGAATTGCTGAATCATGTGGTAATTCTATTTCTAACTTTTTGAGGAACCAGCCACCATACCATTTTCCATAGTAGCTACAGCATTTTACTTTCTCATCAGCAATGTACAAAAGTTCCAGTTTGTCCACATCCTAGCCAACACTTACTATTCTGTTTTTTTTTTTAAGATTGTATTTATTTATTAATGAGAGATACACCGAGAGAAGCAGAGACATAGGGAGAAGCAGGCTTCCTGTGGGGAGCCTGATATGGAAATTGATCCCAGAACCCTAGGATCAGGATGGCAGATGCTCAACCACTGAGCCACCCTGGTGTCCCCGCCCCCCCTTTTTAAATGAAAGCCATCCCAGTGAATGTGAAGTGGTATCTCATTGTATTTTTTTAAATTTTAATTTTTAAATATTTATTTATTTTAGAAAGAGAGGGGAGTGCCTAAAGGGGAAGAGGCAAAAGGAGACCCAGAGAATCTCAAGCAGACTCCTTCCTGAGCACAGAGCCAGATGCGGGGCTCAATCTAACAACCCCAAGATAATGACATGAGCCCAAACTAAGTGTTGGATGCTCAACCAACTGAGCCACCCAGCTGCCTCACTGATTGTTTGAACATATGTCATGTTTTTATTGGTCATTTGTATATCTTCTTTGGAGAAATGTTTTTATTGGTCTTGAGTATATTTCTTGTTTTTATTGGCCATTTGTATATCTTCCTTGAAGAAATGTCTATTCAAGATCTTAGCCTGTTTTTTTTATCAGGTTTATTTTCTATTGTTGAACATTAAATTATTTTATGTAGTAGAAAATACACTAAAACACTTAAAGTATGTCTTATTTCTCCCTATTATTAGTGGTGCAAAATATAATTTGCTAGCTCATGCTACTTTGACCTTGGAGAGTGCTGAGGATAGCTTTAAGACCCATAATCTGTCTATTAATGGAAATGGTGAGTACAGTTTATATTTTACTTATTACATATGTCAATAGATAACGTGGTGACAGTAATTGTTTCTAGTTTTAATATGCTTCTCTGAATCAGATGTTGGCTTAAATAACATAGAGACATCCATGAATCTGTGGGTATCTTTTTCCTTATATGTCCATCCCTTTTTCCCCAAAAGAGAAAAAAATTGTTTTCTTTTCTCCATGCCATTTGCCAGAGACTTGTTTGTGAGGCTAGCTTAGTGAGACCAGAAAGGTTTTGTGTATACTGAGTCTTTGTCTTTGACTTGAAATTGATTACTTTACCAACCCTCTAGTTGGCAGTCAAAGACCTGTCTTAGTTTTAAAGTCGAAACTGAGAAGCCAACCCTCCTGGTGGTAGAAACAGAGGATAAAGATGGCAGGGCTAAATTCATTTGAACCTCTTTCTCTCTGGATGACATTGTTAGTTGTAGTTTATCCCAAAAAATAATATAGCAAGGTGAAGAAAGGAGCTTAGTGATTAGAAAGGTTTGTAAAATTTAATATGAGCATTCTCCATTCTCCCAGATTATTTTACCTATGAGGAAAAATACAGAGTGGCGATGGCAGAGTAGTTCATAAATATAATTTGGGTTATTTATTGTCCATTTTTGAAGCAGAATATATAAAATTATATACTACCTTACTTATTGTTGTGAAGATGAATGGCTATCTTTACTGATGAAATAGATGACTTTACAACAATATTTTTTAAGTTTTGCATTAAACATTACATTAAAAATACAGAAAAGTTCTTAACATGTAAATGTACAGTGCAACAAATAATTATAACTACCTCCACGTCAAGAAAGAACATTGCCAATGTTACTTCTTAATTAATCTAGGTGTAAATGTGTACCAATTTTTATGGTATTCACTTCCTTGCGTTTTTTGGTTATACCATTTGTGTGTGCTTCTCTAAATAATATAATTTAGTTTTCTGTGATTTGAACTTCATATGGATAAAATCTCATTGTCTCTAGTGACTTGGTTTTTGTTTATTCAGTGTGTATAGATTTTATTGCTTATAGTATTTCATTGTATGATTATATCACTATTATTTATCTTTTATTCAATTATTTTTCATAGTTATAGGGTCTTTAGGTTTACTGTTTCTTGAGTCAGTTTTAGTAGGTTATATTTTTATACTTATGTGTTTTACCTAAATTTGAGGTTCATTGGGGCACCTGGGTGGCTCAGTTGGTTAAGCATCCAACTCTTGATTTTGGCTCAGGTCATAATCTCAGGTCATGAGATTGATTGAGCCCTGTGTTGGGTTCCATGTTGAGTGTGGAACCTGCTTAAGGTTCTCTCCCTATGCTCCTCCTTCCACCACCACCACTTGCGCGCGCACACACACACACACACTCTCTCTCTCTCAAAAAATAAAAATAAATAAAATTTGAAGTTAATAAACATTAACTTCTTCATGATAGCTTTGTTGAATTACCCCAGCATCTGTAGTGATGTCCCTCCTTTCCACCTGATACTCCCGTTTTGTACATTCTCTTTTTATTATCATACTTGCAGTAGGTTTGCCAGTGTTTTTATTCAGTGTCTGTTCTATATATTCTAATTATTTGTTAGAAATAATTATTATAGTCTATATACTCTATATTACTATGAGAGATGTGATCAAATCTGCTGTGATTGTAGAGTTTTCTAGTTCTCCTAGTTATGTCTACTTTTGCTTTTTATTATTTGAGCCTTTGCTATTTGCTACACAAAGTCTTTTTTTTCTTTAAGGGGGCACCGTGCTGGAGCCCAATGTGGGGCTTGAACTCACAATTCTGAGATCAAGACCTGAGCGGAGATTAAGAGTTGGACACTTAACCCAACTGAGCTATCCAGGAGCCCCTGGATTTTAATTTTTTTCCAGTTTGACAATCTTTGTGGTTTTTTTAATGGCACATTTTTGGTCATTTTACATTTAATACCAAATAGATTATAAACCATATTATATGATATTAAATAACTGGGTTTAAATTTATCATCATATTCTGTGTTTGCTATTGGACTTATCCATTTCATGGTGGGTTTTTTTGTTCTTTTTAAGGATAGTTTTATCGTTTCACTTTTTCCTTGTTCTAAGTAAAGTTATAATTCTTTTCTCCTCTTGCAGAAATTACCTCTAGAAATGTCATTAATCATACTTATTGAAGTCTAAAATTAAAAGACAGTTTTACCTTTTTCTTAGACAATGCAAAGACTTTAGAGCAGTTAAACTCCATTTCTCTGACCTATGTGCTATTGTTATATATTATAATCCTATTCGATTTTTAGATTTCACAAGATGTTTTATACATTTTGTATTTATTTAGATTTACCTATAAGTTTCTGTGTACTACTTGTATCTTATACCTTACATCTGGGATCATTTTCCTTATACTTGAAGTATAATCCTTGGAATTTCTTTTAGTGTGTTTCACTTGTATCATATTTCTTTGTTCTTTTGTTTGCCTAAAGATGACTCTTTTGTTTCATTCTTGAAAGGTATCTTTTATAGGCTAAAGGATTTTGACAATTTCAATTTTTTTAATATTAAAGGTATAATTTCACTATCTTCTGGCTTTTTTTACTAGCTATTGAAAATTATTTGTTGGGACACCTGGGTGGCTCAGCAGTTGGGCAACTGCCTTCGGCTCAGGGTGTGATCCCTGAGTGCTGGGATTGAGTCCCACATCAGGTTCCCTGCAAGGAGCCTGTGTCTCTCATGAATAAATAAATAAAATCTTAAAAAAGAAGAAGAAGAAAATCATTTGTCAGTGTGTCAGTTCTGTGAAGGTAACTTTATTTTCCCCTTGTCTTCAGTTTTCTGAAGTTTCATTATGACATAGTGTAGAATTTTATTTCATTTATGCTGCTTTTGGAACTCTTTTAATTTCTTTAAATTACTCATTGGTGTCTTTCATTAGTTCTGGACAAAAATCTCACTTTTATACTTAGAGGGCCTCTGCTCTATTCTCTTGCTTTTCTCCTAGCATTCCTGTTAAACCTGCGTCAGTCCTTCTGGCTTTATCCTCTGTGTCTGTTCCCCTTTATGATATATTTTCATCTTTTTGTCTGTCTGATGCTTCTCTGGATTGTTTTGTGAACTATCTTCTGTCTCCTTTATTCTTTCTGTAGCTCTGTGTGATCTGCTGTTAAACCTTACACCAAGAGTTCTTCATTTCTGTTCTTGTAGTTGTTGGCTCTAGAAGTTCTGTTTGACTTTTTTCAGATTTACTCTGGAACTTTGTATTTCCTGCATTTTATCTTTTAGATTTTTAGTAAAAAAAGATGCATGGCTGTTTTATAGTTTGTGACTAATAATCCAGATATACAGTGTCTTTCTGGGTCTATTTCTGTTGTTTTTTTTTCTGGTGGTTCTCATGATATCTCAATTCCTTGCATGTCTGCTTATCTTCACATGTTTGTCATTGTAATTGAAAGTTTACATACAGGAATAAATTGATGCCTAATGTTTCTGTTTGTTTCTGGCAGGCATCGAGGGGGACTATTAGTCTAGGCCCATTTTCAAAGATCATGTCTGAGTCTCTGGATTCCTCCTATCCCGCATCTCTAGGCAGTGAGAATCCTGGGCTTGGATTATTTCTGTTTCACCACTACCCTATTGGCAGTTCCTCTGGGTATCAGCCTAGCATGAGGAGGATCTCCCATTAAACTACTTTTATTGTTCAGACCCTAGACTTTGATTTCTGTTCTGCTTCCTCATCTTGTAGGATCATTAAATCATAAATTCAGACTTGCTGAAATGGGCAAATGCTCTCAGCACAAACACAACTTCTATGCTCACTTAACTCACTGGGTCTCATGTATCAGATTTGTTGTGGTAATTTCTTATGGTCTTATTACCTCTTTGTTGTTCTGGGAAGAATTTTTAAATCTATTTGATTCAGCATTTTCAGTAGTTTTCAGTGGGAAGATTGGTCTGAACAATTTAGCCCTGCATCACCAAAACTTAAAGTCTGTAATTGTATTAGCATTATCAATTTTATGAGAAAATCTAGCAGATGGAGTTTATGGTCATTTCATATGTGTCAGTTCTCTAGAATTATCAACATTGCCATCATACGTCCGACTTGCCGAAGAGCTACAATTGGGCCATCACCAGGGAGGAGCTGGTGGTCAGGTCACAGCATAAGGCTTCTAAGGGTCAGTAAGGATAGTGCCCACCCAGGGGCCATGTGTGTATGGGGTAGGAGGGTTGGGCCTGATCTGGAATAAATCTATTGATGTTTCTTATAAAGAAGGAGGCTCTGTGTATTCCAGTTATGGCCCTCACATTCTGGCCTCTGCATCCACTGCTTGGTCAGAAATTCCCATACATAGTGTCCTGTTCTGTACCCATGTACAACTCAGCAAAGCACCAGACTTAGAGGTTTCCATATCACAGAGGAGCAGAATGGACCATAGTTCCCTCAGGCAGCCAGGTCATTTACTAAGTGTCATCAAGGACAAAGACAGTGTGTTGGCAAATTACAATCCTTTGACCCAATCTATCCTGCAGCCTATTTTTGTAAATAAATTTTACTGGAACACACACAAAAATATGTGTCAGACACTGTTCTGTGAAATATTGTTCAGTCTTTAAAAAAATTCTGCAGTATGTGGCAACATGAATGCACCTTAAAGACATGCTAACTACAGTAGCCAGTCACAGGACAAATACTGCAGGATTCCACTGATATGAGGTATCTAAAGTAGTCAAATTCATAGAGACAAAGAATAGAATGTCAGTTACTAGGGGAAAGAAGGAGTTGCTAATTAACAGGTATAAAATTTCAGGTATGTAAGGTTGATAAGTTCTGGAGATCTGCTATATAATGCATTGCCTATTGTTAACAGTACTGTATTGTGCACTTATTAAGAGGATAGGCCTCCTGTTAGGTGTTCTTACCACAATAAAATGTAAATGAATAAAAAAACCTTTTTAGCAGTGTTCATTCCTAGAATCTGTGAGATGTATCTATAAAGAAGCAT